TTTCACTGCAGGCAAAATACCAGCTCCCGAGTTGACTGTACCAATCCGCATGACAGAATTTGGCCCTTTTTGGTCATTTGTCTCATGTGGAGTTCTTAAAATTCATCATAAAATTTCACAAGAATCGAAGATCATTAATGCGGCTGCCGGCAGGGGCCGCGATTCAACCAGGCAAGATTGTTTAAAACTCAAATGTAACATAATCGGCGTCGAGCTCAAGCTCTGTCAATTTACCTTGGTGCAGCGTGCAGATTCCACTTCCGCTTGAATTTCGCGATGTGTCTGCTTTCGGGCCTGCAAATCACCTCATTCCCCTCACCAAGATGTCAGACTAGACGGGTCTGCTCGACAGCGAGCTTCGAGCACTCTCGACGCATGACGTCACGCCGTTCCAGGGGGTGCGGCGGCGTCTGGCGCCTCATCTATGAGGTAATGGCAGAAAATATCAGTTTTTCCACCGCATTTTTCTCTCTCACCTCTGTCTTCCGCGATCCAAGCGTTAGCTAAGTTTCATTACGCATTTCTCATGTCATAAATTTTCGAAATGGCAAAAGGAACTGAATGGATCAAAGAGTGAAACGACTGAAAGCATACTTTTTTCTATCAAAAGGCACGGAATACCGAATGAGAAAGTTTTATTTCAAATGTCGAATTCATGTCGAATGTCGAAGCTATATATTTTTCCTGAAAAATGTGGAATTCATCTCAAGACAACTAGGTAGTCATGTGTATTCCAAGGGCTTGAGGAACTGTCGACCGCGCGATACTTGTCTTCCGAGACACAGAACAAACGCCATCCGAGAATTTCCCCTTCTCAAGAAGCAGATTTTTCTCTTACACGCAGTTTTCCTCATATTTGCGAGAACCGTAATTTTGCATGACGGGATGAAAGCGACCGAACGCCTCGACTGATGTCACCGGCGTGAGCGCGAACTTCGTCGGAAGATTAAGGAATTTCCCGCCATCTGTCTTATTCTGGAGGAAACAACGTTTTCACTGCGCAAGTGAGATGGCGAGAGAGTCGCGGTTTTACTGGACATTTTCTTTGCAAAAGGAAATAATTATTAAAAAGATGAAGCTACGGCTACATATAATAAGATGTGACAGTTATAAGTACAAACGTTTGGCAGTTTTGAATGCAAAAATTTTACAAAATTTGATGCAAGAATTTAGCACAATCTCCATGTGAAATCAGCACAGTGACTCTTGATTTTAATAACATTTAGACCAATGCTCTGTACTATTGAGGAAGTGGTACATCATACATATTTTCATATTCAGTGAATTAGATCGCAAGATATGGGGTTATGAAAAATTCTTAATATTTTATGACACAGCGGCACCACATCCCTGAATATCATATTCTCTTATAGTCAAGCTAGAGAGATGCATTAAAGCTCTTTGGAAAGGTATGTTCCTGCTCCTTTCGATAATATCACACAGGTGTTATCTTGAAAAGTAACGCGTATTAATGCATTAGATGTACAGAACCTTGAACTCGTTTAGCAAAAAAGAAATCCTCGGGATTCCCGTTAAATATGGCTTAAGTCTTTTTGGCTAAACAAGCCAAAAGCATCTTAGGATATTAAGAACTTTTCGAAATTTTGGTTTTCTTTTCATTGGAAAGTGAAGAAATATAGGGTGTCCATAAAATATTTGTACAACTTCAATTTTTGATAAATTATAAACAAATGAACCTACTTATATTTGGATTGCAGTAAACGAAAGCTTGATATTTTCAGTCTTATTATGTGCATTTCAAAATTTGAATTAAAATTTAAGATTATTTTTCAGCTTATGGGAAATGAAATGGCGGCTCAATAAGAGAAGGCAAATGTGCGCTTTGGTTTGCGGAGTTGAAGTCAGTCACATATATCCAGCACAAGTTCAGAAATGTTTACAGCAAGGATCCTTTTGTTCGTGTTTCAACACACCGTTAGAAACATACAGGAAGTATGCTGAAAAAGAACTAGGGTGGCATCTGCACTTCTCTCCTGCCACGGCACACAGACCATCTTGGGATGCTCTCGAAGGCTTCCTGCACACGTTCAACATCGGATGCCCCACGCGCACGCGCACGGGAACGGGAACGTGTAAGGCATATCGGAGCCTTCATCTCACGAACAAGGGGATCCTTGCTGCGAACAGTTCTGAACTTGCCTGTTTGACTGACTTCAACTCTGGAAGCCACAAAACGCACTCGCCTTCTCTTCCTATTGATTCATTAAAGATTAAAGTTGTGCGAATATTTTTGTGGATCTGTTAAAATCAGTTAAAATATAGGGCTATGAAGAAATGAGGTCAGGACATGCAGTACCCCTCGACGAACCTGCTCAAACCATTACAGCATTCTAGTAATCACAGCAAGGATCAGAATCTCTGTTGATGCCGATGCAAGAGTCGGTCTAATTGAGCCTAGAAATGACGGAATCGTGTCGTAAAAAGATCTACAAAAAAAAGCCGCCAAGAAAATTTCGTTACGAAGAAATTCCATTCCGTGCACATCTATCAAACTATGACGAGGTGCATACTGTGTGTATCGGAACTGGTAATTTAAAGTAACACTTTCTCAAGTATTCATTGCTAATCAATGTTAGTTAGCACTCAAGAAAAATTAACGTTTCTTTGACATATTCTTATGTACAAAATTAAATTCTTAGCGAACCACACATATCTATTTAAAAATACCGAAATAAAAAAGCCCGACCCAATTCACCACCAAAGAAATGGTCCACATTCGAGGAGCAAGAGGGACGGATTCCTTCCATGATCATTCCATCGAGGGCTATCATGGAAAGATGACTCGTGGAAATATGACACAAGAAAGAATAATACAAAAGCAACTATTCTCTCATTCAACTCATTCGGGAAAGTACCCCTTTTGCAAAATATGTGCCTTGAGCCGCTTTAACCCAAAAGTACCTTCTTTTTTTTTTTACGAAATCCATCCTCAGTGAACTATATGCCCACAACGTTTCGATATTATGCGTTTGCCCTTTTCGCTGGTGAAAAAAACATTTGGAAAAGCCGACCACCCAAACGCTATGCCCGGAGGGGATGCACCATGAAAGCTGAATACTGCCTGAGCTCAATAATATCATGTCACTTTTACGTGTGCCAAGTTTCACCTTTCCATTTCTGTCCAATTCGCCACAACAATTTTTTTTTAAAAACATCGCACCACGAAAGAATTCCCCCAGGGGATATATCGAGACTTAACATTTTTACTCAGTAGTCACATTCATGCAAAGTTTCAGCTTTCCATGTTCATCACTTTATCTGATGAAAAAAAATTATTTGAAATAAATCCCTTTGAAATGTGTGCCCCCAGGGCATTTACTTCCAAATCTGAATTTTTCTGCAGCATCCCAATAGGAAGTTATGTACCAAGTTTCATCTTTCCACACTAGCTCAATACGCCAGGACAAAAAAATACTTGAAAACTTCGGCCCCAAAAAATATCCATCAGGGCATGGATCTAAAATTTTGCATTTTTCCTGAACTCATCGTCTCCATGCCAGGTTTCAGCTTTCCATGTGTCTCCGTTTTACTCAAGTAAAAGTAACGTTATGGAGGGGGAATGAGTAACGGGTCATGGAAGGCAAAATAAAGATAAATAATAACCATGGCACAGCTGGGAATAGAACCCTGACTTCCTGATTACTGGTTAGATATAGATACCACTACACCACGGAGCCCAAGACATCCAGTTACTCTCTGAATGCCATCCTCATCTGTCAAAATTTATATTTAAGAAAAACGTTTCCCCCCAAAATGTGTACTCCCAGGGCATGTACCTCCAAAGTCGGATTATTTTCTGAACTCTGCTTTCCAAAGATGCATGTGTACCAAGTTTCAGATTTCTAACCTTTCTAGATCATGGTTTGAATTAGCGTTAGTCAGTCAGTCAGTCAGTCACGATCGTCTATATATATTAGATGATTAAAAAATACATGAATAAAATGGGATGATTAAAAGAGTTATTTGCTAAGGCATACCTCCAATCAAAGGGCGTCGTCGCGAATTAAGAAGAAATGTTGCTCGGCAAATAAAATTTTATTGGATCGGAACTGCTTCGAAAATGCTAAATTTTTGCAAACCTCAAACGTGTCTAACGTCAAGCTAGATGGATCGAGAACCGTAACCCAATAGGTGTTTGGTTTGGTTAATGGCTGAGCTAAAAACCACATGCCAAATTCTTTTCAGCATTTCAACAGTTGAATGGCAACAACCATGAGAGCCGGAAAGAATGGCTCAACTGGCACAACTTGTCGGCTATTGCACGGCAGGTATAACTTGTTGGCAACTGCCCGACAAGTATAACTTGTTGGCCATTGCTCGCCTTCCCCATTGGCTTCCAATTAAGAGAACAGAAACTGAAAAAAGTCGCGAGTTGTCGTAAGAGCCGAGCTGAAATGTTCAACCAACTTAAACTCCTGCGATTTCGCTCCATCGAGTTGGATGCAACGGGCCGATCCGTTTCGGGGTTGCTCGAAGTCCACACGTCGCAACGTTATCGGAGTCGGGCGCGAATCTACATGACGGAAGTCGACCTTGGGCTCGTGAATTATCTCGCGAGAGAGAATCAACATTTCCCCCCGATATCGTCGACCCTCTTGAGCCCTCGGATCGGAAAGACCAAACAAATCCAGAAATAGCACGCCCGAGTGTCCCCCGTCGACGAAATCGGCTCAGAAACCGCACGAAACTTCGATCCGAATGGGGCGACTGGTGGGGGGGAGGGGCTGGGTAGACGAGGGCCACCTGGCGGCCCCTGTTAGAAAAACTCGGGTCGACCTCGAATTAAAGCATGATGAGTCCAAGTCACCAGGTATGCGACGAAGAAGCGATCATCCGCATTTCTATCGCATTACACATTTGCTTGCATGACTCTCTTCCGGTGAAACACCCCCACATATATCTTCTCATCCGCCTCTTTACGATCGCATACAGCGAAGTTGAAACCGGCCGTCCGCGATAAGATAAGATACTCGGCGTCCCTCTCGTCCCTCTCGTCCCTCCCGCGTTTCACGCCTTGCATTGTGTCGAGCGCAGACGAACCAAGATGGAATCGGATCGGCACCTCGGCCCCATCACGTGGCCGGCCTGGCTCTACGTGCTCGTCTTCTACGTCCTTCCCATGACCCTCGACCTGGTGATCTACGCCGGCGACCTCGTGACCGACCTCCGCGTGGCCCACCTCCACTACCTCAACGACAGCCCCAGCTGGGGATTCTGGACCGTCTTCTTCGTCTTCCTCCCCGCCATCCTCTGCTTCGTCGTCTGCGTCTACCGACTCTTCTCCAAGCACTCGGATGAAGTCCCCTATGTCTTGAAATGGATGGCGATTTACATCGTCTGCGTCTTCTTCTTCCCTCTCTATCCCATCTTCAGGTGAGACTCATCGGCGGCCATGTCTCCCAGAGACCTTCAACCAACGAAAATGTCAGCGGAGTCCATCTGGTTTCTGCTCAGTTTCGGCGTCTTTTCCACATTCTGAGCCGAAGTTTTCAGCCTCTCTCTCGGCTTCATCTCTCCGGCATTGGCGGCTGCCCGGGGCCACCGATTTTTAACGTTCGCGAGCTGAAGCCACGCGTTTTCCTTCTTCAACTTCCAAATCGAGTTCATTTTTCATCATCGCGTCATTAACTTATTTGATTTCATGAAAACGCTAAGACGAACGCACGGAGATAACTTCGCAGGTTTTTAGTCGCGAATATTTTTTTTTCAATGCGTTCAACACTTTTCGGAATTTTCGGAGCCCCACATCGTTCACAAGTGTTTCAGCAGCCGACTGTGAATATTCACCAGAGTAACTCGTAGACAGAATTTGATTAATTTCCCACCCTCCTTTAGCTAAAAATCCAAAGTGAATTTTTATGATAATTGAGAAAATACAAATCTTGAATGGATTTTCCTTTTTTTTTCCTGATTCTCCTTTTGTTCCCGTTCGGAACCGACGGAAGTGATTACACGTCATATCACTGCGATAACCTCACCGTTATCGTGGTCAAATCTTTCATACCGAAGCCAATTTTAATAAATTTAATAAATTCTCGCCCTGGAATGCGGAATATCTTAAATTGTGAGGTAAACCCAATAAGCAGTAAGAAAAATGTATGCTTCCTCAGTTAATTTACTTGATAAAAGGAAATGAACTAGCAACCACTAAGTGCTTTTAAAATCCTTGTAAATGCTAATTGCTAACGGCTAAATGTCTCTTTTTGAAGCTCGGATGATAACAATATGCCTAAGTTTGTTGACCGAGGAGTTTTTTTTCTCGGGTATCTGAGCATCGTTAGTTTACATTTCGTGGATTTTCGTTTCCTCATGAATTTCCTATTTGGTGGTAGTACTGCAGTGCCAGAGTTTTTGTGCATGCCCGATGTTTGGCAAAGTTTGAATTAATTTTGACCGGTCGGAGTGTGATTGGCGACATCGTGGCCACTCCTTGTAGGATTTCGCAACCTGTTGCAATGCACATGCATATGGGATTTGCCAAAGCAGAGCCACCGTGCTACAATGACGTCGAAGGTAGCCGAGCATTAGTTACCCTCAGAGTTACCCTCAGAGTTCAGGGTAGTTCTCAGGTGTCTCTCTCAATTGGCTCTCGCCTCAGGTGTCAGTAAGAAACGATGAGCATTTCCACCCTATTTCATCTGCATTTCGCAGGAATCTGGTATCATGCAAAAAAAGAAATTGCGTTAAAGTTTGCAAGTTCGACCGTGATGGAAAACGAAGCGAATGCGACGGCGAATTATTGATGCAAAGACGGAAAAGTCGGGCAGACGGCGCTCTCGGGAAATCGCAAATGCCAATCTCACAACCCACTGCCAATGGGATCTCGAAACGGCAGCAGACGGAATCTGCTCAGAAACTGCAACGGCTGATCCCCCGAAAGCGAGCGGAAACGAATGAGGCCCCGGCCGGGCACAAGGCTCCAGCCGAGATTACCTCCTGACTCTTTCCTGCGTAGAAGTCATATCAGCATGGCCTTGCAAATGTCCATGCATCGTTCAGTCGATGGCACATGTGTCATGCCCAACTCGATCGCATGCGCATGTGTCATGCCCAACTCGATCGCATGCGCATGTGCCATGCCCAATTAGATCGCATGCGCATGTGTCATGCCCAATTCGTTCGCATGCACATATGCATGCCCATTGCGTTGATGTATTTTTAATTTATAAGTTGTAATAGATGTTTAACATTTTCCTTCGTACAAAATGCATTGCGTTAACGCTAATTATGAACGGAACGTTCACTATTTATTTTCGTGAAATGATGCACTATTTACCCACTATTTACCCTCACTATTAAACCATGGAGGCCTGCACGGCTCGACTTTTCCCGCCCGATCGGACGGGAAACTCGACGGAGCTTCGCATCGGCCCGCTTAGGGCTCTCGTCTCCTCCGCTCAGGGTTCCTGACGAGCCATGCTCGATCGAGCCTTAGCCAGGAGGAATTGTTTCGCCTCGACATCGGTGGAGCGTGGTGGCTTCAATCGGGCGTAAAATCCATTTTTGCGCGGAATCCAATGAAATTGCGCAAGTTTAAAATTAGAATTTCGTGAGTTCTGCACAATAAGGAGAGACAGAAATTTAGTCTAGTTGCTGCAGAACCGCAGGAAGAAATGTTGCAAATGTCGAAATGCGCGATCGACGTGCACCAAAGTGACCATGCATTAATATAGTATATTCTATCATGTAGGATATAATAAATAGCCGTTAGATGAAGTGGGTACAAACATTATCTTCTACTTTCATTTTATGATACCTTTTTTGTCCAAAATTGCGCCAGCGTATCTGACCGATAAAAGCATCGAATCCCCAATTCATTAATTATCGATGAGATTATTATCTCAGCCGAGATAATAAATAAATGAAGAAAAAAAATTCCAGGTACCTGCGCGTCCTGCCCTACGCGCTGATGGCGATGTGCAGCGACCGGAACCGCGAGGAGAACCTGCTCCAGTGCAAGGAGCCGAGCCAGGCGAAGACCTTCCGCTTCCTGGAGGCCTTCCTGGAGTCGACGCCGCAGTTCATCCTCCAGGCCATCATCCTCCTCAAGAGCAAGGAATCCAATCTTATCTTGGGTATGCCGAGCAGCAGATAACAGGGTGTCCCGAAAGTGACGTGTTGTTACTGATTAAAAGAAGAGTGAGATGCGTTGATGCTGTTAGCAATATAACATATAATTAAGTAAAAATATGTCTATTGGCAATGTTGTTAAATAGAAATGCATCTGGTTGTAACTATGCCAGGACGAGGTGGGGAGAATGGGTGGGAGATGTTTTTATTCCATTTACATCTCATGTGATCATAAAAAGTAGTTTTCATGAAGCATTGCGCTTTTAAATTGCAATAAATAGTAAGAGAGTTATAAATAAGGGGTGGAAAAGTGGGCTGAAATTTAACTCTTGAGGGAAATTTTTCTTGCTTGAGGGGGATAGGAGTAAGACGAACGATATTCTTGTGAGTTCTTATCCGTCTGCTGGCTGGTCGCTAACATTCCTCACTTCTTTCTTTTTGGTCATGAGGGCTCCTAACTTCTTGAGGAACTTGAGGGGCCACTGGAAAATCGCCACTTACGGCAATCTACGCATTTGCTACTCTAAAATGAAAGAATTCATTCCTGAACCTGGGCCTCACTAAAAACCAACTCACAAAACTAAAATTGGTTTCCTTCACGTTCTGCCGCTACCATCGAATCAGATAGTGTTGTTATTAATTATTATTAATAACAACACGACGCTTATTTGTTATCAATATCCCCAAGGAACTTAGGAGTATGACGTCCGACCCTCGCCTAATCTCTGCGTCTCGGAATGCTTCGTGTACCTCTTTTATCACTTTTATCACTTTTATTGGCCTTGGACACTCTTGGCCACTCGACCTGGATACTTGACTAGTCCACTTGGCTTTGCCACTTGGCTTGGCTACTCCGCTTGACTCAAGGCTCAGGTTTCCGGAGACGAGACCAGAGGTCGATGAGGAAAATTCGCGCATCAGTCACTTAAGTTAATTAGGCATCTGGTTAAAAAAAAGCTGGAACAGTTATTTGCAGTTGCACTGCTATCACATCCAGTCATTTGGAAATATCAGTGAGAAGTTGAGAGCATCACTGGGGGCAATCCTGACGATGACTACGAACTGCTTTTCTTCATTTAAAAAAAGGGGTAAAAACTCTCCAAAGCGCGAAACTTTTGGGACACCCCATACCTTGATCCCACCCGCGCCTTACCCGCACGCGGCTATCATCCATTGCAGAGACGACCCAGCTGCAGGCGATGATCTTCTCCCTGCTCTCCATCGCGATGACGGTGATCACGTACGAGCAGGACGCGAAGGAGGAGGGGCGGGCCCTCACCAAGCACAAGGTCCTTCCCCAGGAAAAGAAGCGGAAGGATCCTTGGCAGTCCGAGACACCCGAGGAGCACGAGGAACGGGAAGTCGTCGCCGAGGAGGCTCGAGTAAGGGAGGTCACGGGTCATGTCTGCTGGATCATAAATTCAAATTCAAAGAAACTAATGTTTTCAGTTTTTCAAATGACTCTCAATTGCTTAAAAAATGACCGATTTGAATTGATCTGGCGCATGTCACCCATTCATACAAATAGAATGTTTATTACCTCAACGATAGTAACTTACATTATTAAACTACTATCGGCGTTAGTATCGGCTTTACAGACATCCTCATGAGTGTCATCATCATCGTTAGTGAGGCGTCACTGTCGGTTCTCAGGTGAACCTGCTCGAGAAGGTGCTGCGGTTCATCGCTTGGCTGCTGCTGCTGACCGGGAGACTCTTCGCCCTGGCCCTCTTCGCGTCCATCTTCTACTATTACTTCTTCGTCCTCGCTGCCGTCCACATGATTGCCGTATGTGGAGATATTTAAAAAAAATTGTGTTGAAGGCAGTTTTGCGTCCAACGTAGGTCAGGGACGAGTTGAGCCATTTTTTCGGTTGAAGGAAAAAACATTCATGAAATGCATGCCGTCTATGGAGGAAACCGTTTGCAACAATCCCCCCAGTTCCCCCCCCCCCAAAAAAAAAAATAATAATAATTCGACCTAGTTACGGAGACGTTAAGTGGAGAAAAGTCAGCTTTTCCAACCTGTGCTTGAACGCTGAAGTACAGGGTGTCCCAAAAGTCCCTTTACTCCTATGTTTTCCGTACTCGCTTTCCGATAACGAAATTAAATGCTGAATATTGTAATAGTACATTTTATTGTCTGCACAAAATGAAACACTCGACATCCTCTTCAACATTTAACATCAATAACATCAGTTTCCACCATCTTTTTCTGCACACCAACTGATACGGCGCCTTGTCTGTCGGTTCACGTTTCGTAGGATGAGTGGTGTGACTTTGCGAAAAGCACTGCGAACTGCTTCTTCCAATTCTTGTTTTGTCTCATATAATTCTCTTTGGGGATTCGTTAAACAGGAAGTCCGCAAAAAAAGCATCATATGAGAAAACACAACAATTGGAAGAAGCAGTTCGTAGTGCTTTTCGCAAAGTCATACCACTCATGCTACGAAATATGAACCAACGGACCTGGCGCCGTATCAGTCAGTGTGCTAAAAACGATGGTGCCCACGCTGGTGTTATTGATGTTTAATGTTGAAGAGGATGTCCAGTGGATGTCCAGAGGATGTCCAGTGGATGTCCAGTGGATGTCCAGAGGATGTCCATTTTAAACCAACATTAAAATGTATTATTACAATATTCAGTATTTAATTTCGTTAAAGCAAAGTGAGTACGAAAAATATCGGGGTAAAGGTACTTTTGGGACACACTGTACATTCCCTCACTCTGCCTGAAAGTATCACATGTTGACAATCCTGGTTGCTGTAAACATTCGCTCGTTTGTAATCGTGCAAAAATTAATTTTTCTTAGGTTCCAAATGACAAATTTCATATAAATTTTTGGAAGATCATCCCAATGTGTTCCATGGGACATCAGACGACTCAAGAAGTTCTCGACACGGCTTCGGACGGAATTCTATGTAACACTTCTGCAGAAAATTTATTTGGTACCACATGGGTAGTTAATTTTCCGACATTTCCTCTGGAATTGGCTTTTAAGAAGCCTCCAAGCAGCTCTGAAGAAAATCATGAACAAAGCAAGCTATGCAAAATGGCAGTCTTGGAGCGAGTCTCCCTTGAGTGCACTGTCGTAGAACAGGACAATTAATGTGTTGGATGACATTTTTGGATTAAGTCATTTCAAATTACTTTCAAATATTTCCCCATTGATTTTCGAGTTGTGGGAGATATTTAGCAATGTTAGAACCAGTTGTTCTTGCTGACTTTGAAGAAAGTTTTGCCCTGTTCAACCTGCACAGCTGGTTGATTGCAGGCAGCGTCATGGCTTTTTCATAGCCGTAATGCCCTCTAAAAAGGGTAGGAGACTGCCATGCTTGTGCCAAAAAAAGAGTTTGCCCATGGTATCATTGTCAATTAAGTGATCTAACTCCACTCGCTTCAGTCGTAATGATTTCTTCATTATTGTCACTACAGGTGACGGTTTACCTGGTGCTGAAGACACCAGTGGACTTGGACTTCAAGACGATCATCATCTTCATCTTCTTCAGCTTCATCTCGCTATGCTGAATATTGTAATAGTACATTTTATTGTCTGCACAAAATGAAACACTCGACATCCTCTTCAACATTTAACATCAATAACATCAGTTTCCACCATCTTTTTCTGCACACCAACTGATACGGCGCCATGTCTGTCGGTTCACGTTTCGTAGGATGAGTGGTGTGACTTTGCGAAAAGCACTGCGAACTGCTTCTTCCAATTCTTGTGTTGTCTCATTTAATTCTTTTTGGGGATTCGTTAAACAGGAAGTCCGCAAAGGAAGCATCATATGAGAAAACACAACAATTGGAAGAAGCAGTTCGTAGTGCTTTTCGCAAAGTCATACCATTCATGCTACGAAATATGAACCAACGGACCTGGCGCCGTATCAGTCAGTGTGCTAAAAACGATGGTGCCCACACTGGTGTTATTGATGTTTAATGTTGAAGAGGATGTCCAGAGGATGTCCAGTGGATGTCCAGTGGATGTCCAGAGGATGTCCAGTGGATGTCCAGAGGATGTCCAGAGGATGTCCAGAGGATGTCCAGAGGATGTCCAGTGGATGTCCAGAGGATGTCCAGTGGATGTCCAGAGGATGTCCAGAGGATGTCCATTTTAAACCGACATTAAAATGTATTATTACTATATTCAGTATTTAATTTCGTTAAAGCAAAGTGAGTACGAAAAATATCGGGGTAAAGGTACTTTTGGGACACCCTGTACATTCCCTCACTCTGCCTGAAAGTATCAGATGTGTTGATCCTGGTTGCTGTAAACATTCGCTCGTTTGTAATCGTGCAAAAATTATTTTTTCTTAGGTTCCAAATGACAAATTTCATATAAATTTTTGGAAGATCATCCCAATGTGTTCCATGGGACATCAGACGACTCAAGAAGTTCTCGACACGGCTTCGGACGGAATTCTATGTAACACTTGTGGAGAAAATTTATTTGGTACCACATGGGTAGTTAATTTTCCGACATTTCCTCTGGAATTGGCTTTTAAGAAGCTCTGAAGAAAATCATGAACAAAGCAAGCTATGCAAAATGGCAGTCTTGGAGCGAGTCTCCCTTGAGTGCACTGTCGTAGAACAGGACAATTAATGTGTTGGATGACATTTTTGGATTAAGTAATTTCAAATTACTTTCAAATATTTCCCCATTGATTTTCGAGTTGTGGGAGATATTTAGCAATGTTAGAACCAGTTGTTCTTGCTGACTTTGAAGAAAGTTTTGCTCTGTTCAACCTGCACAGCTGGTTGATTGCAGGCAGCGTCATGGCTTTTTCATAGCCGTAATGCCCTCTTAAAAAGGGCAGGAGACTGGCATGCTTGTGCCAAAAAAAGAGTTTGCCCATGGTATCATTGTCAATTAAGTGATCTAACTCCAGAGCGAAGTCAGCATTACTAAAGAAGTAATAACAGTGATGTCCACTGCCAAATGGACCACGACTTCTGTGGTCACCTGAACCTGAAGTTCTGCTAGTAGTAGAAGTAGAAGAAGTCGAAGTAGAGCGAGTTCACCTTCATACAGTACAAGGTGGACTTCTCCGTGCTGGTGACCCGCGAGTGGATCCTCTTCGTCGTCTACTTCTCCGTGAACCTGCTGGAGAACCTGGCCATCGTGATCGGCTGGTACGGGAGCGCCTCCTCCACGCTCTGGTACCACACGCTGGGCCTCGCTGGCTCGCTCTCCTCCTATGTTATTGGCATCGTCCTCCTCTGGGCCAGTCACTTCATCGGTCGGTGCATGGATTCTCGCCCGAAGACGATGGAGATGAAGTCCTACGATCGGGGGAACTGAGGACTCTACTTTCTCTTAATTCTGTAGAGAAATCAAACTGTGCCAGATCGTGCCTTCAGACTTTTAATTCTTCAAGAAAAATAGGCTTTGTTAATGCTGCTTTCTCTTCTAGATTTTTTTGGCCGACTGAATCTTCTCTATGGTTCGGTGAAATCTGCATGGCTTTTTCTTATCTTGCTTCGAGGAGAAATGCTCTTTTTTGCACTCCAAGCTAATAAAATTACAGTCATGTGCTGCTATATATTTGTCTCGGTTTCAAATTTTCCAGTCGACAACTCACATGGGATGCTTAAAAAGAAAACCTTTGCTTAGTTGCGAATGAATGAATAACCCAGACTCTTCAAAGCGTCTGACATGAAGCATTTCTCAAGATATTCTTCATCCTGTTAAATCTGGTAGAAATCACGGAACACAAAATTGGCATCAATGAATAGTTTTCTAAGAGTAGCTGAACTCATTAAAATTGTATGGACCGTAATTTCACGCGATTGGCAGCTTCACTTCTCATTCATAGAGTAATATCAAATCGATCAATCCAGCGGTTTTCTTGAGGTGCTGTTCGGAATAAGAATATTCTCCCAGAGTCACCGTATCGCTAACCGAAAGAGACCGATTCTTGAGACTATCAAGGATGGGTATTTGGGGGGGGGGGGGATAGTGGGAAGTATCTTCAGGTTTTTTGTTCAGAGTGCTTAGTAGTTCTAGTAGTTTACTTCTTCGGTGACATTCAGGCTGATTATTCACATCCGATTCTGAAGGCAACGGGGTGGATGTGGGAGGTGTGAAGGAGAACGATAACTTTCTCCAAATATCTTCTTCCAGTGTTTTGTAAATGAATTCGTACCACCTTCAACATTGCGCACGGTAACTTTATGGATCATCCAATGCGGCGGCAGGGGAGGTCCAACTATTGTTTCTGTTCCGTAAGATAGATGTCTCCCTCCCGCTTCAGACAGCCACCTGGCATTCATCGGTTAGTCGCTTGGGAACTGTGATACAGCGAACTTCGCGCGGCCCATACGAAAGCAAGGACGAGTCATCGAGCACCGGATCTTTGCCATGCACATGGCTGGACAGTCATATAATGACTTCCCGAGCTCTGGGAAATCAGAGTAACGAAACCTGTTTTTTCAACTCATCATTTTCATCGCAAAAGGAAAACAGTTCCTATGTTGTCGCTTTGATGCCACCGAAGGGTATTTCTCATTTTGTAAGAAAAGAATCCTGACTGTCTCGTGGGCCTTCACCGTACTCTCTATGAGAAGGTAAACCATTGTTCGTGGGTGATATTCCCTATTTTAGACAAATCATCTGTACGATGAAGATGCAGAAATGATTATCCACAAGAAGCCTTGAAAGGCAGGAGCAGTTTTTTTTTTTACTTTTGCCATTAGAATGCGGAAACGCGATGAGAGGGGGGCGATTTCATCGATTTCCTGATGGAGTTTCCTTTTTTCATTTCAATCAGCTTTCTCTTGCTGATGCCAATTCGAGACGGTAAGGGTTCCAAGCATCTTATTAGTCAGAGAGTGGAATATTGAGCTCAAAAATAGTATGGAAAATGAAGCAACCTTTTGTCCTCTGCTTTCATTTACATAATCTTTTTGGGATTGCCCTGAGAGTTCATGACAACTCTAACTTTTGGTGCTTGGATAAAAATAAATACACGTCTTGCAAGCCGGCAAAACATTCTGATCTGAAATTATTTAATGTCCTAGGTTATTGTGTCAAGCTATCGTTAAAAAGGCTTTCATGGAGAACTTGGGCGCGGACATTTTCCTGTAACTTAAAGTCTGAAATATTTTCCATGTTTGCACGCGTCTGGCCGAAAAACCAAGGGAGATATGGACGAAACGACGGGAGGATGCTATCAGACTTTCACGTTGGCACCTGGAAATATTCAGTCAGTACCAGACAGTACCAAAAAGTACAAGGGGAACGCGGAGGGACGCCGAAAGATGGAGAAATTCGTTCTGCTGCTCGTGCTGAGCCTGGCGATGAACCTAGCGATGAGCGTGGACGTGCAACAGGTCGCGATCATCTACGACCTGCCTGAATTCGATAGGGGCGGAGCTTGGTGTGAGAGGATGGAGTATTGCCAGGAATTGGACTCCTGCGATCCTTCTGTCTGGAACGATGTCGTCTCCAGTGCTTGCGTTCTCGGAATGTGAGTCACAACTGATTTCCCTCTGTTATTTCTGAAGGTTTCGTCGACTCGTATGACAACTGAGGAGGCGAATGAGCTAGAATCATTTTCGGCTGTCTACACGTCGTAAATCACGAATTCTGGTTGTTAGTGGCATCTGAAGGAGAAGAAATAATGATTCTGCAATGCCAACAATTTTTGCAAATTGATTTCCGATCTTACACACAATAAGAAATGTGGAAACCCAGCAATCATTTAAAATTTTAGGTGAAATTTAAATGACTCCAAGTGCTGAAGAAAGACTAAAGTCTCAATCACGCAAAATTTCCGCAGATTCCATTCTTTTTCGAGGAGCTTTCACACCTCTGCATGGAAGTTTCCGTCCTGACTTCAGCTGCAGCAAGCTGTAAATGGCTAATCCAGCTTGCAGAAAAATTTGTCAATTCTGCGGCTGGTGCCCGCCCAAGTCAGAGACGACCATTAATCTGCAATTTTCTCAGCTTTCGGGATATCATCCGCCTCATAAGCAGGTAGTTTTTCATTTCATGAATGTATCTCATGTCGAATGCCCTTCGCGAAACAGAGAGGATTAGACCCATGAATAACGGAACAGAATCCGTTTGTCACTGAAATGAAAATGAAAGCGACTTGATGGATACTTTGCGACTAGGTCACAAATTTTTCCAGACACATGACCTTGAATAATCGCAACATCCAGACGGATGTCGCGGGCCCAGGTGTTCCGAAACCAACTCTTATCGCCGCCAGGTTTCGGGGGATGTCTCGCGATAACCATCCCGAGAGAAACGGATGAACGGTTACTAGCCGGACAGAAGTACCGCGGTTCATGTCAGTACTAACTTCAGATTCAGATTTTCTTCTTTGCTTCTCTAATTCTATGAAATTGGATAGATGGATTTCAACCGGGAGGCTTCTTTAATCGGCTGTTTCGGAAAGTTCTCATCGGATGGACCTTGTAATGCGAGACCGTGTTCATGATGAGCGCGTTCATGATGAACACGCAGAGCCTAATTAGGCCTTATTAGAGAATGCGCCTATCATCCAAGATTGCCCACA